TCTGGATTACTGATATTAAGTATCGCTTACAGCTATCGGTTGAAAAGATTAGCCAAGTTTCACAAGAGGAATGCAGTTTGTACAAGAATGTATGTAAAAATTACGTACTGAACGTTCTCTTTTTTACTAATGCTATTGTTGTGGATAAAGTTTACTGATGAAAAATAGAACTTCTAAACTTAACACCTGAAGACCATTTATAAGGAAAAGATTGGCCCGCTTCTGTCTATATAAACTGTGAAATGTATAGATGGTAACGGGTGGAAATTACTGTTTTGGATAAGTTTTATACAGAGAAAAGTTTGGTTTGTTTTGAATTTTTGCGCAAAGCTACTCGAGGGCTATCTGCACTAGCCGTCCCCAATTTAGCAGCGATGGACTAGAAGGAAGGCAGCTAGTCAACACCACTCACCGCCAACTTTTGGGTTACTCTTTTTACCAACGAATTGTTGAACTGACGGTACATTACAACACCCCCACGGCTGAAGGGGTGAGCATGTTCGGGTTTCGAACCCACGACTCGCAGATTCCGAGTCAAACGTTCTAACCACCAGACCACAGAGAAAAAGACGCCAAAAATTTAATATCTGAGGAGTATTTGTATGAAAAGTTTAACTTATCTGTGTTCTATCGTCCCTTTTGCCCTAAAACCAAGACCCCGTGGTATGTGAGGAGGGGTGGAAAGTATTACAATGATTACTTGTTTAGTATAAGGAAAACAAATGATTTTATGCTTGTAACGTGAGTGTGAATGAAATAATTAATGAATTTAAGGCTTTAAAAGGTGCTTGTACAATAACAACCTTAAGACAAGCTGCTAATCAAAAAGCTAAAATTGTACTTCAGCTCTCACAGCCTTTGTAAGAAGTGTCTAAATCTATCTTTAATATATAATTGACACGCTGATTTTGTGTACATAGATTTTAGGTTTATCCATATAAAGTTAAAAAATTGAAAATTTAAACAAACATGAGCGACTTTCTGATAGTATATGCCCATTAATAGGCGGTCTCCCGCAAGTGTGAAAAATAAAACGACATATTGAATTCGACCTTTATTTTATCATTTAAACATCTGTTGAAATATTAGCGCGGAATAAGAGCTCCGTAATAAACATTTCAAGAAAATAAATATATGCCTCTCATAATAGAATTAGAAGACATAACACACGAAGTACGATGTTATTTTTCGAAGTAGAAACTTGTCCAAGTGCTTTCAAAGCGACGCGCTATTTCGTTAACAGTGTGTAAACATACACTAAGAATACAATTGTGGCGTTCTATAAACTTCCAAAAACATTGCAAAGTAGCAAATGATAAGAAAATACCATTAATATGGTTTACTGGTGAAAATGGATATTAATTCAATTAAAATTTTCACAATTTAGTATAAAATTACTAATGAGGTCAATTGTATTAAGGTCCTCCGATGTGTAAGTGGTAACTTTACGGACTTACAACGCTAAAATCCGGGGCTCGATTCCCCACAGTGAGCAGAGCGCAAATACCCCATTCTGTGGCCTTGCGGTAAAAAACAAACAACAATAGTATTGGGAACCATCAAAATGTTATTGCCCTATATTTGAAAATATCTTTAATAACTTCCCAAAGTCTTGTTCAAAATCTTTTGAACAGTTTGTTCACTGAATAATATAAACTAATGAGTTGGTAACATGAATGCTACTTATTCTTCGAATTCCTCTATTAATATAGGTTACTTCTCGTTAGTAAAGGACATTATAAATACTATACACATACACTGCATATCACGGTTACCAGTGACCTGTTCTTGCTCTTGAGTATGTTCTTTTCCTGGTTATTTATGAGATGTATTCCCTTCAAGACTCAACCAAAGCTAGTATTCAGTTAATAAAAACTTGGATGTAGTCAAACAATACTTTGAAATTCATTTATATAGCATGTTCCTTCCATTTGATTGTGATGCACAGTTAATCGTTTCACAAACTTCCTTCTTAGACACCGAAGTAATCTGTAAAGTATTTATTGTAATTTTTCAAAATTGAATAATTGTGACTTATTTCTCCTCAAGTTTTTATCTTCAGTATTAAATAAATTACTTGCTCTAATATGTTGTATGGAATTTAACCGCTACAGTGCGAATTGTGATAAGTTAACGTAATTGCCAAACCTTAGACTGTAGAAAACATTAAAAGTATGTACTTATGTATCAATTATATCTATTTTCAAATAATTCCTCAGTAGTCCTCTTATGACAGTCTATATTTCCTACTTCAAGTTATTTTACACACACCCCTCTCCCAAAACAAATATATAAACACTACTGCCTATGGTACTTTCCAAATATTCCAAAAAAGGAAAATAATAAATTCATTTAATGATTAGAAATTGATTGAAACAGAAATGGGTATCAGGTAATTATTTTGTTTTTTTTTTTAGTCGAGCGTTTTATATTATTCAATAAAACTATTTTAAGCATAATATTCTCTACACCAAATAAAGGAACCAAAAAAATATTTATTCAGGTATCCCTAAATCAAAAATAGTGTAAATTCAAGGTAATCTAATGTTTACCTATCTTACATGAAAATCTTGTGGTTTGTTAGGAAAATCAGTCATTTTAAAGTCAATATTGACTTTTAAAGACTACCACGTATAACCTCAAAATGGGAGAAGCAGAAAAAAGAAACTTCCTCTTATCAACTGCAAGGTTGTGCAAAGATAGATGAGTTCAAAGAGCTCAATCTTAAATATATTACAAGTATTATGAACAAATTTTTCCTGTATACATGCAAACACAATGTATGGAATATCGTTCATTGGTCATCCAGTTATAACATCTGCCAAATATGCCTCTTCAGATCACTGCACTACTGTGCATGTGCTTAGGAGGCAGAAAGAAAAAATGATTAGTTTCTATGTCAGTTTAGAAGGCAAGTGATAATTTTAACCTTTGTTACTTGGTCTTTTGGAAAGGTTTTCAAATTTATATTCTACTCAACAACAGGCAGACACTTCTGTTATAGGTTACAAAGTTTCGACTATATATATATCAATTGTCAATCATATTTTCAAACCTGGAGAGTTATGATAAACTTTCTAATAGTCATAAAATACAAAACTACATTTGAGCTACACTAGCTATGTGTTAAAAATAATCCTTCTGGTGAATATTGGACTTTATTCTTCTTTGCGAACTGCTGAGTATATTTGTCTCAGTAATTGCAAAGACTCAGTGCATTGGCAAAAAGATAAGTTTCAAATATATATAGCTTATTTCAATCCATTTGTGGAAGACCCAAAGTTAGCGAGATACTGTGACCAGGGATGAACAAACTAACATACTGTGGATACAAAATATGTAAAGAGGTATACAGTGCTTATGTACCTAGTTATTATTACTATTTTCATAAGACAAGTCTTTGTACTGATATCCTTTTAAAAATTATAAAATATAATATAGTAATATATAATGCAACTGAGTAAATAAAAAATATATTAAATATCATTGCTATGGGAGACATATAAGAGTTGATTTATAAATAAGTAAAACAATTCACTATCTCACATCATGTACATAAAATATGTATATATGGTTATTTATTACAGAGTTTGACATTTAGTATTTTTACATATTTTTTCAAACTTTCTCAAATCTTAAAGAGGAAGAAGAATAGACGAGCTCGAACTTCAGGAATAATTCTCAAAAAAATAAGTGAAAAGAATGAGTATTGTGCTTACTTCGGGTTTCTTAAATTTAGAAGAAAAAATATGATGGCGAAATGATTTCTATTACTAACTAGCTTGAGCAGTAAAGGTATACTAAAAACACTTTAAAACAGTGGGTATATGAAAGTAGACTTTTATTATACACCTTTTGGGGGGCATTTTATGAGGCAGATAAATGCCTCAAATTAAATGTGTCTTGCAAATAGATTGCAGAAATTTTAGATCCCTTGTAACTGAAATGGACAAATACATGAGTAAACTACCAATTGATCTAATTTTAACTTTACCACTTATATAATAAATGCTGTTTTTCTTTTATTGTTCTTCGTCATGACTAGCTGAAACATGAACTTCGTTACTTTATCTTAAGATTCTACTATCTTCCTGATCAGTAACTGATTCTATGTCAATGACCTTCAGTCTTTTTTTTTTTTTTCACTTTTGCTTAGCCTTGAATTATTCCCATTTTCATACCAAGATAATAAAGTATTCAAGTTGAAAACTGCAATCAACCAGGCCTCCATTCAAAATATACAGTTATAAAAAATGTAGACAGAGTTGTCATTTTCCAAAATATTCAATACACAGAGATGTTTCGATTGTTCATTTTTTTTAATCAGTGGGAAGATCCACAAACAAAAGACATTTTCAAACTGTACCATTTTTACAGGAACTAGTAAGGTTGTGTTGCAGAAAAGTTACTCTTAATTCAATATATCATATTTAATAAGATTATTTAAAGAAAGAGTATTAAAACAGACAGTCCAGACAATAATTTCATTATATCACATTCATTCTACGTGACAACATCAGGTAGTTGGGGAAGCCAATATGGCTGCCGCATACGCTAATATTGTTGCGTGGTCGTTACGTTCTGTTTGGTGCTGAAAGTAGTTGTTGGTAGCTCCACGCTACATTTGTTATTCAATATACACAGTTAACATACCACAGTTTTAGCTTCATTTTATTTAATAATAATAATAAAGCTTCAGCATTAATACTACTGGCCGCTTTGAGACTAAGAACTGTTTTTAATTTTAGTAAATATTCTTGTTAGAAATGGCGTTCTGTGAATAATATAAATGAAAAGTGAAATTCGTATTGTTCTGATCCTTCATCCCGTTTATGAAAATATAGTTTGTACTTTGTTTACGGGAACGCGATAAAAAGTTAACAAACATGATATAATGAGAATGAGTGTATTTCATAAAACTAATTACACCTATCTAATATAAAACAACAAAAAATTGGTAGAAAATTTCACGTATTAACGCTTGCGCATGCCCTGTAGGGTCTCTGCTGCAGCTTGCACCAGGCTGCTCGGTGGAAGTTCGGAGATACTAACGGCCATGGCGTTGCCTTCGGAAAGTGATGTGACACTATTGAAGGGGGCAAAAATTTCAGTTACTGTAGAGGAAGCTATAATTGATGTTCTGGTTGTGTCCTTTCATTTTGGAGGAAAAGTATTTCAAGGAGCCTTACTAGAAGTGAACAAGAAGTGAGTAAATGTTACGGATGTTTCACGAAACTCGTGAACTGTTTGTCTCATTTTTTGAGGTCATAAGCCAGATTGTCACCCTGTTGCACTGAATTTCTTTAAAACAGTAACTCTTTCTTGATATTTTTTGTTTTTATGTATTTATACACATTAAAATAAAGCAGTTGATAACACCATCAACATCTTACATCTAGGATTATACTTGTAGTATTGTGATTTTAGATGTGTTACTTATTGCAAAACATCACAGTGATTCACACCCATCGTTTGTCGTTTGTTAACCAGACCTTTATTATAAGCTTACACTTACACAGTGGTTATCTAATTTTAACAAATTAGACTTGTCTATTTTAAACGACAGGACATTGGTATGATTTTATTAGTACAGACAAGTTTAAACACTAACAAAGACATGGATATTATGAAAGATTTTTTAAGTTATGTTGCATGTAACTTGTTAACTGTAATTGTCACAATTACAATGTTACTGTTAAACGTTTTGTTGTTAGTGATCTGACGACACTTACCATCTGGTCATTATTTAATTTTAACTTTTGTCTAACTGCACTGTGCAAGCTTACTACCAGTAGTACTAGTGTTAGATGTTGAAACTTGAATATAAGGTACCTTGCGTTATTATGTATTTTGATTACAGTTACACTGAAACATCGTTTTAAAAGTTACACTCTATTATCATTAATCAAATGAACAGCGATTTGCATTATCACAAACTAAAAGTATTAACTACATAACGTTAATATCGGCAGTTCTGAAACTAAGTAAAGTGATTTGGTATTTCTCATTTTCTGGTAAGCTAACGCAACAACAAGGTTATCATATGAAGAACCTCCTCGAACGTAACGTTAACCGTTACCTCCTACTACACATTTCAAACAATCATCTCTTGTAAATTGGATAGTCTCTTGTTCTTACATTAACTATTTAAACCTTGAACAGATCATCCATACACCACTTCCACAGCTATATTATTACAGTTTCCAGTATTTGATACAGCAGGTGGGAAAGTGACATACTATTATTTAGCCTCATAAGAAATACTTATAATTAACCATTAAATAAGAACAAAATACATATTTTTTGGATTATAAATTTCCACAATTGAGGTGTCAACCTATTATGGTATTAATGAATTTTGTATTCCAGTTTCTCAAACTAACACTGATTACAGTTTTGATTTTAAGCTTCAAATTAGAGAGTGTAGGCAGGCCTTTCTATTGAGAAATTATTAATATAAGATTTTTACGCGCAAGTTGACAAAAAGACTATTTCGTTTACTGAAGGCACTATTCAACCCAGTGAAAAAAAACAACTTAATTCTAAATGCATCTTAGTATGTCTATATTATATACCTATCAGTCAAAGGTTTAGAATTGCTTTAAGTAACATGCAGGTAATTTTGTCAGGCAAGCTATTGCAGAAGTTTGTAAATATTACAAATGAATAATTCTACAATGGAATAAGTCTGAACCTGAGCTTCCAGAGCTTATTATTAGGTACTATTAGCAATGTTTAGATTCCTTTTTCAAATCTTATCTTCTGCCTTTCAAACATGTTTCCAACTGGCAGTTAATATAAGCCTGTAACAATTTAAACACCTGATTCAATATACTTCTGTTTTTGAGAAAAAAAAATGATCCAAAAACTTAAATCTTGTTTCATACTTGTATAGCTTTTCTATCACTTAATCCATATATCATTGTATTTAGTCTTTCTGAGTTTCTCTGCACTTTTCTTTCAACATGTTAATATCCTTTCTGAAGTAATTAGACCAAAACTATACACATTATTCTAAATATGCCTGACCAGAGTTTTACATATAGTTCAAATATGTTTGTAAGTCATAAGGTCAAAATATATATAAATACATAAAAATCTTAAAAATTGTATTACCTAAAGTTTTCTGACACTTTTCCATTAATATAATGACATTTAAATTTTAAATCTTTTTCTTCACAATAGCTATATTTCTTTGGTACAAGAAGTAAGTTCTTTCCAAATTGCCATAACCAATGCATAACATTTTATCAACATTGAAGTGGATTTTCAAGAAGTTGATCACACTTAAAGACTACCCTAATTTTATACTCTCCACAGAATCTGCCTTTACCATCATATTTCAGTCATCAGTTCTATTAAACATATATTTTGTTGATCACACACATGAATGATAAAATTAATGTATAAAGTTTTTAATAAACTCAACATGTGAAATAGAAAAAACTATTTGTACTTCTATGTCTGTTTTCAAGTATTAAAATATAGTTTTCTGGAGATATTTTTTTTGGTGCATTGTATGATACAGTTGTAAACCACATTTTCTCCAGTTTCTTTTGTATTAACAGTTTGTCTATTAGAGCTACATCAAGGGAAAAATATAGTTGACATACACTTGTCAATTTGTATTTATAATCTGTAACCTTAGTAGCTTCCTACTACATAAAAAATTTGTTTCTTAGCAGAGGCAGTAGATTTACTCCGTAAATGTCTTCTATATCTCATGGGATGTGTAACACTTCATTGCCTAAGCACCTCCAGTAACTGTATATGTCTGGTCTGGTTATACACCTCAGATTGTATATTCACAAAGTTCCAGCAGATATTTTTGAACCACTGATCCAGCTTGCTTAATTTTTCTTCAGTTGATTATGGTATATTTTTTGATGCATGAATTGAGCACAATAAATTCACATTCACAGTAATTTGTTCACAGTAATAATAAGCAAGTCTGAGTGCACTTGTTAGTGCTTGTTGCCTGTCTCTCCACAAATAACAATTTTTTTATACTTATTTCTTTTTTTCAACAATTAGATGTTTGAGATTGACAGTCTTTATATTTATCATATTTGTTCTTAAAAGCATTCACCTACGTTGCCTCCAGAATATCAGTCATGATTGACTATTTCATTTCACTTGTTTACTACTCTGTGTATAGAAATTTCTTCTTATTTCTTTATTACATTGTGTTTTTTATATTTTTTGGGTCCCTTGGATTCATTATAAATATTTTTTTTGTTTGTAGCACATATTTTTTAAAATAGTGTATCTTCTTTAAAGGCACAGGTTTCAGTGTTATACATTCCTAATATATAAGATTCACTTTATTACACACCTACTGTAAATAGTGCATATTATAATTTGTGTCTGAAAACTTACACCTGTTTCTGATATGTCTAGTTACCTGGGGATTTATGTTTTTTGTACATACAGTTGTGTCTGAAAAATACACAGTACTTGTGAAAAGTGCCTGTAGTACATGGATATGTCTGAATTGTATTTTTAAAAAACATAATTGGAAGATATATTGTATTTTTGAAGAATGCCTGTTAGGTATGATTTTGTTTGAGGAACATCTCAGATACATATATAGTTTAGAGTAACATATCTGATGGATATACTTTTGAAGAATATACAATACACTGAATATGTATATTTGAGAATCATCTCAGAACTATATTGTATATGAAAAGAACATGCTTTTTTCATAACAAACAATGTTTCATGGATATGTTTAGTACTGATACACAAGTGAAGAACATGTTTAGTATATTGTACTTGTGAGGAACATGCCTGACGTATTATACTTGTGAGGATTATTTCTGGTAGATGTGTATATTGAGGAATTTGTCTTAAATACATAGTTGCTCATAGTGAACTCCCATGGTAAAGACACAAGGAATAATACGTCTTGTATTTCATGCAAGTTTTTATAATAAACACAATTTTAAATAAATGTATTATCCTCACAACAAGAACACAACTTTCACTAGGACTGCATGAGGGTTTGATTATATCTTTATTGATGTACTTTTTAAATCTAGTATTAAGAAACTGGAGTTCTTAAAAAAAATATTATATTTCAATAAAGGGTAGCACTTTTAATATATAAAAACATTACAGTTTATATTGGTAAAAGTTATGAAAATTTTGAGCCCTGTACATTGAATCATTTTGATGCAATGAGTTTTGCATAACTAAAGATCACATTCCAAACACTTTTCCCATAGTACTTCCCAGAAAAAATCCTTCTTTAGATGTTCACTTTTTCTAAATTTTTTTCAATGAGATATGAATACTTTTAGTATATGCCCAGTTTGTTTGGTAACTTAGTAGACGTTAACCAAGTGATTTACAAGTTAATATACAATATAAGCAAAGAAAGACTATTTGTCTTGGTCTGAAATATCAAAAATTCATGGTATGAAATTATGAAATATTGATTTCTGTTTGACTCCAATCACTCATTATGTCGCACTCTGCTTTTGTTATGAATTTTCTTCACCACATAGTCTGCAGAGAGTTTTTTTTTTCTTCATCATTATTAAACTTTGTCAGTGACATTTAGAAGTAGTGATTGTGTTATTGCATTTATTTTTTTTACTCTAATGTATTCTTACTCATTGTGGCCCTCATTTCTCAATACTATTACTAGCCTGTTCAGCCTAGACTAAAAAAATATTTTATGACACACCTATTTCAGAATTCTCTCTTTCAAATATATAAAAAGAGAATATTTAGCATTCGTGACTGTGTGTATATATTCACTAGTTGGATCCCTTTGCTCTTGAAGATTTTCTTTGTTACAGCGCAATGATATAAGAATTGTTTAACCAATTACCATAAAAAAATCTCCCCTTCAGTGATTGGGTTGCTAACTGTGTGTGCAATACAGTTGTATACTTGTAGTTTCAGTATTATAAAACACAAACATGTACATACGCAGGGGGTGGGGTTCAGCCAAACCCCCTATTTTTGTGATGTCAAAAAATATATGCTTATAGTGCAGCTGTTATGGTATTTAATGTTTTCTACATAGTCTACATTCTTCTGATGATTTATTAGCATTTTTTGGCTTGAAATAATCACATGCTCCCAGGCCCTCATTGTATTAGAATACCTTGTGTTGGCTTTTGATCTCACAAATTAGAACCCCCCCCCCCTTCAAACATTCTGTATATGGGCCTGACAAAGACCAAGTTTTG